ATTATGTCTCTGCCTCCTCCCCTTCATCCCCTCAGCCTGAGCAGAACGAAGGAGATAGGGAGAGGAAGGATGATCAATTATGAACTGTGAACTCCCCCTCAGTGGGGCTGTCTGACTGCTAGCTGTAGATAAAGCAGAGTTATGACAACCATACAGTGCCCCCTCATCCATAATAAACCACAGGGAGGGAGAGTGCTTTTACACTGAGGAATATTCATTCTCCAAAGAACCAGTAGTAGGACATTGTATCGAAAAATATTGTAGCCACTCATCCATTTAAACACTTTGCTACAGTATAGGACTCAAAGCCAATGATGGGAATATTGTATCTACATCTGAACAGTCTGGGGCAAAACGTTATCATTTATATGCCAAATTATGACATTTTAGCAGTAAAAAGATGGGAATAAAACTTTTCCTATGGGTATTTTTTATATTTTGTGCAGTTTAGAGTCAGGAGAAATACAGATAATGAATGGCTTTGCCAAGAAGCATTTTCTAGAACTACTTTTGCCATTATTCCTTAGCATACTTTGAATTATCAGAATTAGATAAAAAATATATATTGTAATGATGTTTATGTCTTAGTTGAATTATTATTATCTTTTCAATATAACTTGGGGAAAAAAGTCTGTTTTTGTATAGTAGGTGCACATGTCTTATTCTTCCTCTTAAACACAATCTCTACATCTGTTGTTTCTTCAACCCATACCTCCCTTCAGCCTTTGTGGCCCCTGTACTTATCTCTGCTTCTCCTGCTTTTTTAAAAATGTCATCTGCTAAGGAATAAAACCTACAACCCTTGAATCCAGGAGGGTTTCTGCATGTTCACAGTAACCACAAATACAGTATATTATTTGTGTAATACTAATATATGAAGCAAATATATGCTAATATGAGTAATGACATTGGTGAAGATATCTGAATGCACACTGAAATGCTACATTTTCACAAAGTGCCATACTGTACATTAGCATGTGTACAGCCAGCACGAGAGAAAAGAGCTAAAGCAGAATTTAGTCGTGCTGTCCTGCCTGTGACACATCTGGGCTCCTCACATCATACTGACTTTGCTTGACTGGTTCTCGCTAAATTTTAAATCAAATCTTAAACGCTTTCGTGAAGTGGTTGAGAACAAGACAACTAGACATAAAAAGCTGTAGAGCATCATGCCAATAACTTTGTGGGGTGAAAAAGATGGCCAAATTATTAAGATATAAGTCCCTGGTTCCATTTAGCTTGACTGATTGTTGGATCTAATTTCCTTATGACTTTCCTGTTTCAGAAAATTGTGTGCCAACAAAAATATATTTAAAAAAATACACGAGAGTTGTCAACACTTGAAGTATTGGTTTTCACTGCATGGTTCGACTCTCATCGACTTGACTTATGGCAGGGGTGCCCAACCAGTCGATCGTGAAATGTGTCTAAAAATAGAACGACAATATTCTGTTTTATCGTTAATGTCCTATAACATAATCTTCCTGTGCCAGAATAATGCACTTGAACGCATCAAAGCTTTGTGATTGGCGTGACCCCATGTGTCGGGGCGTGGCTGGTGGGCAGTGGGCACTAGTTCGCTGACGTTGTCCGTGGCAACATAAGTGACAGTGCGCACACACACAAGACCACAATTATGACAGAAGCAAAAAAGCTTGGAGGATGGGAGGATGATTATTTTTGTATCTATTCCAATTCAAAGTCCATCTGTCTCATCTGCAATGCGAGCGTAGCTTTATCGAAGAAGGGTCATTTAGGAGTGGCATTTCAAAACAGTGCACAAACGCTACGAGACGGAATTCCTTCCTAATTCTGCCCTACGCTCCCAAAAGGTGAGGGACCTGAAAGGACAGCTAAATACACAGCAGTCCATTTTCACCAGGCCCAACAACAAGAGCAAGGCTGCTACCATAGCATCTTATCGTGTCAGTCACGTTCTTGCGAAACACATGAAGTCTTTCAAAGACGGCGAAGTTGTGAAAGAGGCATTCCTGGAGGCTGCCGACGCGCTTTTTGGGGACAGTAAAAATAACAGTAGCATTTCAACAGGTTTTTGATATAATAAAAACTCAAGTTAGATACCGTTATTAATCAGCTGTAAGTTTTTGTTTGTTTGAACTTATTCATTATAATTATTGTACAAAATGGTATAAGAATGCAAACATTAAGATCTGTTCTGTTTAAATTGATTATAGTCTATTATCAATTCAGGTTAAGAAACTAGTGTTGCTTGCATCCTATTTTAAAGGCATTTCTTTTTATACTAAAATGCAAAAAAAAAAAAGGGTTTGATTCTATTAATTTTGTCTTTTTTATTGCACTTTGGCAGCAGATTCCTGTGTAGCTTCAGATCTGAGTTGTCTTATTAGAAAGCCTAATTTATACTTTTGTAGCAACACTATTTTTATATAATGGCAAAGAAAGGGTTCAGTGTCTTTTCTTTTTTTCCTGTGTCATATGTGGCAGCACTGTTCAATGTTTCTTGAAAACATGACCCACTGTAGTATGTGACGTGTGAATAAACTCCAACTCTGTATCAACAACACTGTTGTGTAACTTCAGTTAAATACTTGTATGTGTGTCGATTAGAAAGAGGTAAGATAAAGGATCTCCAGTATTTTATGAAGTATTAATCGTACAAAGGTCAGTTTTATACAAGTAGAAGTATGTATTTACCTGGTAGTAGGCTGTCAGTAATGGCTACGCCTCTCTATTTGGACTGGTAGATCTCGGCAGACTGGCAACTTTAAAAGTAGCTCTCGGTTCAAAAAATGTTGGGCACCCCTGACTTATGGTAACAAATGCTTTTTTCTTTATAGTTTTACACTGAGGATAGTACCCAGGAAACATGGGGTGTAAAAGTGTAAAACATATCATTTATTTGACTTACCAGATTCTACTGGTACCTGAGATACTTTTATTACCTGAGTGAAAGGGGTCCAATAACAACAACTCAGTTTTTGCAATGATCTAACTATTGATAACCAGAGTTTCAACATACCAATCTACAAAATGTTCCAATAAATTAAAAACCACCAAGACTGTTTGCTACTTCACAGTCTCTTGGAAATTGTGAAGTTAAACAAAAAAGGAATTTGAAAGAAAGCAGAATGATGCAAATATTACATTATGCCATTACAAAAACAAAAACCTAGAGTGCATTGACCTGCCAGACTGCATTTCACAATTGATTCCTCAAAGACAGCTGGTACAAACTGTTAAAGGCTGCATGCAGCTATAGATGTTGGACATGTAGGCTGCAGAATGACATGTTAGGCCTTCCAGAAAGCTTAGCGAAGAGACGTCGCTGCCAGGAAGCTTGAAGGGTGTTAGACAATAACAGATGCTTGGCAGGATGCAAAGCAGTCGATTAGACGGCTAGATGTGAATTGAGCCTATCAGGCAGTCAGGTAATGATAAACTGCGCAGAAGGCTGCTTGACATTGCCTTCTGCCTCTGTACAAAAACAGGCTGTCAGGAGAGTGTATGACCACAGACATATTTATAAGTGAGCAGTAAAGCTTCAACTGTTACATTATGAAATGCACATTATAGTATGCCATTTATTTCAATTAGCAACAGAGACACATTTAAGTGGCACATCAGTCCTTCTATGGAGCCAGTAACTAATACAGAGTGGTTGTTTTTGAACAGATTTATCCAGATTTTTACCTCTGAGAAGACTGCCATCTTCATTAAATTGCAGGGACTAGTCTCATTCTTTTCCCTCACTCCCTGGAAGCATTAGCATTTGAACAAATGCAAAAACAATACTGAGAGGTTATCTGAGGTACTTGCGGGGATTGGGACTGTGTTACTGCAGCCTCTCAACCATATCAAATAGGAACAAATAAAAACCATCATGTAGCAAGACTGACATTCTAAAAGCGAACATCAGAAATAATGATTGGCTGTCCCTGCAGCATTAATGGATGTCATGCATACTAACATTGGGTTCAAACTGAAATACTTTCTTTGCATAACTGAGCAAGTAATCGGACTGCTGAGCCTTGCAGGCTATGACTTTTTAGGCTTTGACTTTTAAGTGGAACAGGGAGTGAGAGAAACTACAGTATAAAGCATCAGAGTTTATTTTTCTTGTTTTGTAGTTGGGTTTTTCATAGCTACTACAGCAATGTTGTTTTTTTAATATTTGTGTTTATGGTTGTGTATGCATTCTTGCTCTTGAGTGTGGAATTGTTGGCAGTATGGGCATGGACCCCCTGCTGTACCCTGCCAGTTCACTTTGATGCCAAAGGCTACCAAGACACAGCGCATTAGCTAGCAGTGTAAACTCACACCAAGACCAACTGCAATCTTGCACACAAACTCACAAATAGCTGATCTGGGTGGTTTTGTAAAAGGCATTTCACACAAAGCAAGATCAAATATGTGTTTCTTTTCAAAATAATGTGTAAGTTAAGTCAATATTAAAGTTTAAATGTTACTTTGTGATCAATAGACATTTATTGTTAACTTAGATTGAAAAGACATCACAGTACCAAAGCTGCACAGTCTGATCGGATAGGAAAGTGAATTTGTTGACTCTCAGTGGGTGCCTGCTCCCTTTATACACGTTTATTATTTAAGGAGTAATACTGAGCCAGACTATATGCTTCATTCAAGGAAAGTCTCGCAAGGTCACTTTTTTCCTCTCTGGTAAATTGAGTGTTTGTAGACAGTGGCTCTATTTTCAATAAGTTGTGAGAATGAACTATATAACATCGTTATTGCATTGTTTTAGTGTGGTGGTGTGCAGCAGCTGAATCTAACTTAAATAAACTAAATTGTCCTTGTTCATCAAGTTGTGTGTGTTATTGTGACTGATCAAAAGAAGAGGACAATTTTGTAAGCTTTCCTCTCTTCTTCACACAAGACAATGGGGAGATTAGAGTGGCCTTGGATGTAAAACTATAAATATTCCCAGGATAATGGAATCAATAAGGTGAATTAAAGGCACACCCAGTATGGGATCAGTACATCATTTGAGTGGCACTCACCTCATTAATCAGGATCCAGTGACAATCGAAGGCCACCAGGTTGGTCTCAACCACCTGCAAAACAACACAACACACATTTAGAATTGAGAAAAATAAACAAGCATTCGAATTGTTCAAAAAAAGGCAAATTAGATAGATAGATAGATAGATAGTACTTTATTGATCCCAAATTGGGAAATTGTTGAGTAGTCAGTAAAAGTAGTCACAAAGGTGCCACCTGCTTCAAAGTAATATGGGGCATAATTTCCCCTCCAACTACCGGATCTATACACTCTTAGTTTGCAGTCATCAGTAAAAAAGCCTACTATAGTATGTTATAATATGTTTATTTTATGTACACTGGGTCTAACTGGTGTACTGTAGCAACAGAAAGACTGCTGGTTTGAAGGAAGTAGGGAAACAAGGATGTAGTCCCTTTCTCCGGGTTCAAACCCCAAAGTTGGGTGAGCTCAGACAAAAGGTGAGCTAAATGCTAACTGCTCCGCCCGTTCGTCTGCTAGCTCACTTTGGATCTGATCCAACTCAGGTACTCTGCAACACAACAAATAAAGGTACTTGACGACACCATTCACATGATATTAATAGTGTTAAATGTTTTTAAATCACATTTCTGGAATTCCTTAAACAGCATTCAAAAGTTGGCTACTCTAGACAATCAGCTAATGATAGTTAAATGGAACATTAACGAGTAAATGGCAGTGCCATTAAGTACCAACAACAAGTAAGAAGACAGTAAATAGGTGTTTTAGTGTAGCTCTCTGTTTTTCTTTCTCCGCTAACTCACACCAAATGGTACTGTCACGTATTATCCACTCTCTCTCTCTGTTGTATTGTCTCTATCTTGTCTCCTATCCTTTCCCTCTATCTTTACAGCACTATTTCAAGGCATATAACTTCTATCGCCACCTTTATCATTTACTTTTAAACAAAGATAAGGATTTGCATTTAATCTTGTCATCCTGCTTTTGACTCTGCTCTCTCAGAAACAATTGCTTTTGCCTCTCATATGTTTTCCTCCCAATCCCACCTGACCCTCTAATTTTGTTCTCTTATCGATGCTCCTGCCTCACCTTTCATTCCATCATCTCTGCTCTCCTGTAATTGCTCATTTCTCATTCTGACTGCATCCGTTCCTTTCCTTCCCTCTCCCCCAGCCATTCTTGGTGTAAAAATACAGTACCAGTCGTATATCATTTGCTATAATTGTTTAGGTGACTATAGCACCGTGTGTCATAAAACACTTTTTAGCCATAAACAAACGGCAACAGCTGGAGTGAGCTGACAGAGCGTTGCTAATAGTGGTTTAATCTCCCACAGAGCCTCAATAAAACTTCATCATTGTCTGCGGCTGCCGTAAAACACTTTGTCTCCAGGAAACATGGTTGGGACATAGACTAAGGCAGGGGTAGAATGAGGGAGAGGGATAAAAGACTCGATTTTTGCCCTAATTATTTCTGTCAGCATTTCTGTTTAGGATTCTAGCCATTCTCTCAGACTTTTTCTTGGAACACAGCTTGAAACCAAACAATGAGAATCACAAGAATGCAGGTTATTAATCCTTGTTGTCCTCTCATGCTGTTTCTGTCTCTATCTATTGGAGAATTGCAACAGCAGAAAGACTAGCAGTGAAGGAGGGAGAAAGGAAATACATATTGTTACACTGTTTGTTATTCTATCTTCTCTCTAACCTTCTCTCTATTCCCTTCCCTTGGTGCTCATTCAGGTTTTAGATTACATTTACACAGGATTATGAGCAAATCTTCTAAAGTCAGTATGTAAAGTAATGCAAACATATATGTTGATGTTATTTGTAAGTGTCAGTGGATGTGATTGTTTCCACTTCTCCCATTATAACCTCCCTCTGGCAGCCGCCTGGACAGATGTTTCAAGCTAATTAGGGAAAGGGCAGACTCCTTACACTAGACGTGACTCCTCAGGGGATGGAACGGTTCAATACGCTCACTTTTTCTCTCTCTTTCTCATGCACACAAACAAGCACAAAACATAACATACTGCTGCTAACATTTAAAAATGACCTGTGCATTCATATTTGAATTTGTTGACACAGACTACCACAGCCTTGTTAACAACTTAATACCAACATGGCAGGTAAGAGTCCCTTGGGTTCCCTTAATGATACAGAAAGATCCTTCTGACCTATCTGGCCAGCTCTACAAAAGCTTCATTTCTGAAGTCCTTGGATCAAACAAATACCAGCTCTGCAGTCCGGGATACATCAAATCACTCAATGCCAATATAGGTAAGCCTTTTCTCAAAGTCTGAAAGCAGCCAGACTGAACTAAGCCTGATTTGCAACACCATACCACTGTGAACTCCAGTCTCCTAGGTGTTTTATAGATGCTGTGATACCTACTAACATCATTTTGATCTTGTACCGTTGCAATGTTAGCAAAACGTTTATTCAGTAATTTAAAAAACTTGTATTTTTTGCCTGAACTAATTAATGTCTCAGTTTTATTTATCAAAGGCAAACTTTTTACAATAACACACACTCTCCCTGCAATTACAAAGATTCATGACCTGCAATCAGAGGGCCCTGACTCCTAATGTTTCACACCCTCAGGAGGCTAGGTCCCAAAGCCATAAGTTTGCATGTTAATGAGCCATACAAGACGATGGAGGATTCAGTGTGAACTGTGGAAAAGGTGAAGAAAGATACAATCGCCTTAGAGTAGACATATCTAACCAATTAGTTTAAAAATAATAATAATTACACCTTGCTTCTCAGGGTTTCTGAATTAGGAAAAAATAAAACACACATACACACACATACGCCACTCTTTGGAAAGTGTTATACACTCAGTGTATCTATGTATATGCCTGTATTTGTGTTTCTATGTGTGAGAGGCTAAGGAATACTAATGCAATAGCAGATGTTGCGTTATAAATAGTGGGTGAAGCTTAATGAGGGAGAGTGGGCGTTACCACCGAATAAAGTACTCCAAATTGAAAATTAGTTGTGTAATTTAATTTCATGCACTATTTGTGATCAAATCAAGCAAATAGCCTGCAGCCCAGCTTCCAAAGTAGGAATATTTTATCTTCAGAGTTAAACATTCAAGCACAAGCTGTGAAAATACAGCCTCATATACAAAAGTTACACAAAAGCAGACATCTAAAAACACAAGCATTCACAGATCCATTTTCATAACTTCACATTTCAGCCACTGCTGCATTACTTCTTCTGCAATAACTTTGTATGCTGTTATAAGGTTTTGCATCCATTTATGTCCCAAAAAAACTTAGAATGCTATTGATGGTCCACCTGAGCCTGCTTTCTGATTAGTATAATTAATTTCCGTTTCTGTGTCTGCCTATGAGTGTGGGGGGATAAGATGCCAGTGTCTGGGTCTTGAGGTCGGTGAGTATGATTACTGTTATCATCTCAAACCCTCCATTCCACCTTGGCTGTAAGACGGAGGGATACATACTGAGACACTAAACCATCAGAGAGATGGGAAGATAGTAGGCATGGATGAGAGAGCAATGGAGAGACAGCGAGTGGGGAGAAGCTGACAGAAAAAGAAGCAAGACAAGAAGTTGATTTTGTTTACTGTAATTGTCAGTAACAACTTTTGTGATTACCAATTTATCCGATTGATCTGATTTCCTATTGATTTAATGTTTGATGATGATGATTGAAGTTTTTCCACCCCACAATAAGGTACAAAACATTGCGAGTGGTTACTAAAGAATGTGTGATGAAGCACTTTTCTGACAATTTTAATGCTCTTTACAACACTTAAACACTCTTATTTGTCCTGTCTGTCTCTATTTGTAAGTGGTGTGGGTGTGTTTCCCTCCTTGCACTGTCAGGGCTGAGTCATACTTACAGCTCATTCACCTCACCTATGTAGCTGACTCCCATCTACTTATCAGCACCACAGTATATCTTGTCTGGTTCTCCATCAACTTATGGCCAGATAAAGTTTTAGCTGTAGAGGTAGATACTCCACCAGTGTGTTTTCCTAGTGAAACCTTTCTGTTCCTTAAGACCACATCATCCCCAGCTTCCTTCTTGGCAGTGAGCCTGCATTAGCTGCCTGCTAACCAACATACCTCCTCACCTCTGCTTGCTCTAGTTTCTACACGCTCCGCTGCTCCTCGGCCATCATCATTCCCACCAGCAATACCTCTCAGACAGCAAAGGTGCCAGTTCGGCTCCTTGGCACTGCGGAGGTGTCCTTGAGCAATGCTGAACCGCAAACGGCTCCCAGGCGCCAAAATATGGCAGCCTCTACGGTCCAACACCTAGCTCTAAAAAATGCTTGTGTATGTGTGTATTTCGGAACTTAATGTATAAGTCTTCTTGTGTCAATTGTGCTACAGTATACTAACATACTGAAAACTGGATTTGTCCTTGTGAGATTAAGAAAAGTAGGTCTTCTCCATTGCAATAAATCCCATTTTCTTCAAAACCTCACTCCCTGTGGTTTGTGTCTAGATTTCTTCCGCATTTCACAAGATTTCACACACTTATCAATCAATGAGATATTTAACCTCCTCACACATCTTTGCTTTCATTCGCTTTGTTCTCTTTTACCTTATCACAGACTATTTTTGCTGTGTATTACTTGCTTGTCTCTGAACTCTGTTACAAAACACATTCAAACATTACCGCAATTACACAAAGGTGAGGAGTAAACCCTCTCGTCCTCTGACTTCATTCCATTATACATATCCCCCGCATTCATTCTCCCTCTCTTTTATCCTCCATGTTTATAAAATGAGAGTTTATTGCATGCTAACGGAGGCATTTTCTCCTTGATACATCATAACTGCTTCATGTCGACTCTGCCATTTAGGCTTAATGCCACTTGCCTCACTCGTGCTACTCCCACAGTGTACCATATGCAAGTTTATGTGTATATGCGTGCAGAGTTGTGTGTTAAAGAGCTGTGATGTCAAGCAGAGGGTGATACATTATGACACTGTTTTGCTCTATGGATTTGCATACTTGGCAGAGGTGCTCTGAGCGCTGATTAAAGGCTTGCAAACATGCAAAAGCAAATATACATATGCACGTGCAAAAA